GCGGCACGGCAGTGCAGAGCAGCACCGCGGCATTCCCTGCTGCAAGCTCGCGGTCCGGCGCCACCCCCAGGACCAGGCCCCTCCTCTCCCTGGTATTTCGTCCCAGCAATGCAGGCTGGACTGCGCCGCTCCTGAGCGCCCTGGGAGACTTGTTCTCAATTGTTTGACGATCCACAGCCCGAGACTACTTCCACTCAGCCGGGAGAGGCAGGGAAGGCTCGGCCCTACCATCTATGATGAACTTGGTGGTGTCCAGCCCCACGTAGTCCAGAAGCTCAAAGGGACCCATGGGGTAGCCGGCTCCCAGCTTCATGGCCATGTCGATGTCCTCCTTGGATGCGTCACCTGTGGAGAGAAGTCCAGGAGCTGGGTGAGGGGACCCTGGACGCACACATTCCTGCTGTCCGGAGCGCATGCTGCTGCTGGCCAGGCTGCGCCTCACAAGTGTGTGCTGCACGGGGTGCAGGCTCCTCCCATGCCTGGCCAAGGGCATGTGGGCTCTGTGCCTCGTGCAAGGGGACAGAGGGCTGGGCTTCCCGAGACATTGGACTTCCGGCTCACCACCGTGCAACGCTATAGCAGCCCTGACTCCATCAGCAGGGCACTTGTCTCTGCTCACCAGCAGTATCATTTAAATGAGAGAAGGGAGCAAGCTGCTGAAAGTGAGCCCGAGGCTGACGGAGCCGCCACTGCCAGACGGGCCACACGCTGTCAGAACTGCCCTGCGCCCCTTCTCCAAAGCCAGACCTGCAACAGTGGCAGGGAGAATTTGGTTTCAGAGCCTAGGGAAGCAGCTAAATGCAGTGCTTAGGCAGGGGCTGCTCACAGAACCACTGGGGTTTCATGCTGCTCAGACCTCCGGGAGACCCTTTCACACACAGCAGAGACCCGGCCCAGGAATGCAGCAGCTAGAGAGGAGCCACCCGCCCAGCAGGGAGGCACTGGGCCTCAGCCTCACGGGGCGGTGCGGGCCCTGTCACACCACTGTGGGAGGCACCAGGACACGGCCCCAGACAGAAACACGCTCAGCTGCTCAGGAGAGGGGGGACCACTGCAGCCACTGTGCATGTGCGGACACAGACAAAACAGCCCACAGCGGGTTCCGTGCAGGGCGTCCAGACGGAGCAGAGGGCTCTGCGGGCCTCAGAGGCTGGGGGCAGATGGGCCACACTGCGCCTGGGCGCTGGCCTTGTCCTCGCCCTCCCCTTCCCTCCCTCAGCCAGGCCGGGGCTCCCGGCACTCTGATCCACACACTTCGGAGTCACAGCTCTCAGCCTGACACCCATCTCGCGGTCCACACACACGGGCAGCACCACACAGGAGGATACAGCTGAGCGCGACAGCTCCAAGCTGGCAGAGCGCAGCTCCATCTGCAAAGCAACCCAAGCCACAGAGCACCAGAAAATGGTGCTCTCGGCTCTAGGGTCGGCACAGCGGGCAGAGGCAGCCGGTGGATGCTACCTGCGCCTTGACTTCAGGCTGGCCACTGCAGAGCATCTGACAGCCCCTGCAGCACACACACACAGATACTGCCCTCTCCAGCTAAGCACTCCAGCCCTAAGGATGAGGAGCAGCTTCCCTGCGAGACCAGGCCTGCAGGGGACGCACCCAGACTTCTCCTGCAGCTCTCCAGTGCCACCTGCTGGCCACTCCGGCGCTGCAGCAGGGCAGCAGTGGGCGGGGCGTCCGTGTCCCATGGGAGCTCAGGCTCAGTTC